TTTTGAATATGAGCTGCTTTATTTTAAAAATTTTTTTATATTAAGTTAACTATCTTTGAGTTTTTAATTGAAGTTGTAGAACTCATTAAGATAAATCTAATAGTAGTTAAATTATTAAAATTAGTTTAGTGAATTATAAAATATCTTTAAAAAATATTTTATTAACAATATAAACTTTTTTTCAAAAATACTATTGTTAAAAGAGAAGTTTATATAGTTAGTGAAATGTTTTTTAAAAATATCTTGTGATCTACTAAACTGATTTTGATGATTTAACTATTATTAAATTTATTTTAATGAGCTCTACAGCTTTAATTAAAGACTTAAAGATGATTAATTTAGTATAAAAAAAGTTTTAGATAGAAGTAGCTCATATTTACTATAGTATTACCCTATATATAAATACAAAATTAGTGTAATATATAAATTAAAACAATCTAATCTTTACAAAAATAAAGAGCTGTAGTTAAAGTTAGGCAGGACATAAATTATACTAAAATTTTATAAAAAATTTTTTTTATTAGAACACAAAAAATAGTTTTTTAAATAAAATTTTAAGATATAATTAATTTTTTAAAAATTTATTATTTTTGTTATACAAAGAGGTAATCTGTATATTATTCCTAATCTTAAATTTTAATTGGTCACAATACTCTAGCACTATAGTGCTATAGTACTATAAAATAAATCACTAATTTTATTATAGAAAATTTATTAGTTTATATATAGTATTTATATATAGATATAATTTATTAATTCACAAATTCATATAACATACTGTATAATTAAATCAACCTCTTTTATAGATTAAATAAAATATAGCTTATATCAAAATTTTACAAAGAAATTTTTTGATAAAATCTAAAAAGTAGTTTTATAATTAGAATTTTGAAATATCTATATTGTCTATATATATACCTGGTATACAAATAAAAATTCTCTTTATTATATAATGCGAGATACTTAAAAACTTTACAAACTTTAAATACTAATAATATTTAATAGAAACATAATAATATAAAAAATAGACTGCTATTTTGTAATTTAACTAATTTAATACAACTTAGCAACTTTATTTTTTAAAAAATTATTATATAGTTTTTTAATTAATAAGTATAAAGATATAATACTTTCATATAATTTGTACAAATTTGACTAAAAATAGAGCAAGTCACATGTTTTGATTTACTACTATTGTTAATTTTTAAAAAATATTTTTTATCAATTAATTTTTAGCCAATCAAAATGCGAGAATTCAGAAAAACATCAAATTTCAATATGAAATTTATAAAAATGGGACAAATCACATATTTCTGTCTTTAGGTGTCCTGCACCGTATATACTAAATTACGTAATTTGATAAATTATTGTATCCTTTAAACCCTAAATATCTACTACAATTTAAATTATATACAATCCAACATAATTTGATAGCTTAATCATTAAAATTTCTAGGTAAATTTGGCTGGAAAACGGTTTAAGAAAGAATTAACTTATTTGCATAATTAGTGTGACTAGTGTTAAATTTTCAGTTAAAATTTACTGTGCGAACACCACATAATTTGAAAACTTTTCTGTGCGGCAAGTAAAGAAAACTATCTACAAGTGTGCGCACTACTTAAAAAATGTTAATTTTTTCTGTGCGGCATCCGCACATCTGTTCAAAAGAAAATGTGCGCAAAAATTTATTTGTGTGCAGCGCACAGTCCACACAGCGAAAAAAAATCACTGAGTGTGACATTAAATATTCATATAACTATAAAAAAGTTGTTCGGAGTAACCAAATACATATTATCATAGAAGTTTAAAATAAATTTAATAGAACTTTATTGATATTTTTCTTTGCATTTCACGTCTCTACGAGAAAATTTTTTTCACAGAAATGTAAAACGTATTACTGTATGTTACCAATTAGAAGCAACCACCGAATAAAAGCAACTCTCCAGACTTTGAAGCCGAAAAGTTAACTAAAGGTTGTATGTTCTATTAATAAAATTGGATTCGAGTACAAGCAATCCTCCACTCTGACCCGAAAAACTTTTCATTTTTTTTTGCATTTGGAATCGATATAAATCAGCCAATTACGGACAATGTTGGCAGAATATGGACATGGACAATACCGATACAACCAATGGGCATGGACATTTAGTCCAAATAAAATTGAAATATTCCGGATAGAACATCGATACGTATTTGTCCAAATAAAATTTTTATTGGACATAGTCCAAATAAAATTTTTATTGGACATAGTCCAAATGCCAACATTGATTACGGAATTAGGGGTTGACAATTAATTAACCTAGTTTTTAGTTTTTAAAAACTTTTTAAATGAATATATACGTATAAGGTTATAAATAGACAATTATTTACAAACCAAAATTATTATTAATTATACGCATGTCTATTTCTATGTCTATCATTTACCTATCCTAATACCTATCACTAAGCCTATCATTATACCTATCATTATACCTATCATTATACCTATCAATATACCTATCAATATACCTATCACCACCATATCCATCGCGTTCATGATCATATTCACGCCTATCACCACGATCATAGAATCGTGGAGGAGCGTAACCTCGATCCGATGCATTATATTCATCTCTTTCCTTAGGTGGTGGATATTCTCGTTCCGGCGATAAATATCCACGATCTCTTGGAATGTAGCCACCTCTATATGGACCTTCTGGTGAAAATTGCGTAGGAGGTGAAAATTGCGTAGGATGAGAATCTTTTGCTAGAAATGGTTGATTTAATTGGTTCGCAGTGCGTTTGTTTTGATCATAACGATAACCAGCCATTTCGATTAATGGTATTTTTTTATTGGGGTTTAATGCAGGGTCTGGAGGTGGTGGATAACCATATTTTGAACGAGGCATATCATACGGAATATGTTTAGGGTTATATGATGGATATCGATCATCACGATATTGAGATGCGTAATGTCGTGGTGGAGGTGGTGGTAAATCATCATGTAAATATCGACCATTTGAATCCTCATGATCGCGATATCCATTTAGACCATGTCTTGGTATTGGTCCTGGACGCAAATCGTAACCTGGATCATTCCGAGAGTAACTATTTTGATGTGAATCATAACGCATGTTAGGAGGATTTTGTCCGAAACGTGCCTGATTTCTTACTGCTCTTGTCATTTGCATTTGTATTGGTACATCATCACTATCATACATAGTAGATATTCGTCTTTCATCATCATCAGAAGATAAATCTTCGGGAGCCCTCAAGGGGAGTTTAAGAGCGGTATTTTTCCATCTTGAATTTGTTACTTTGGAATGAGCATTAACCCTGGAATAAGCACTATTACTCGTAATACTTTCTTGATTTGATGATATTGATTGTGAATCACTAGCAGTTTCATTAATTATGTTTGGTACTTTTTTTTTTCGCCTTGAATCAGTTACTCTGGAATGAGTACTAACATCGGAATGAGAGCTAACTCTGGAATGAGAGCTAACTTTAGAATGAGAGCTAACTCTGGAACGAGAGCTAACTCTGGAATGAGTACTATTACTGGTAACACTTTCCTGGTTTGATGATAACGATTGTGAATCGCTAGCAGTTTCATTAATTGCGTTTGATACTTTTTTTTTTCGTCTTGAATCTATTGCTCTAGAATGAATACGATTACTTGCAATACTTTCCGGATTTGAATATATTGATTGTGAATCGCTAGCAGTTTCATTGATTGCGCTTGGTATATTTAAACCATATTTTCTACCTAAAGGAATTATATCACTGTCCGTAGAAAGGACTGATGTACGAGCAGTTAAATTAGCATTTGGAGATAGAAATTGTCTATTCATTGGTTCTCTACGTATTGGCTCATAACTAACCCGATCACTATGTGAACTAGATTTTGAAGAAATGGAAGAAGTATGAGAACCATCTCTTGGACGCCTATAATCATCTCTTGGATCCCTATAATCATCTCTTGGATCCCTATAATCATCTCTTGGATCCCTATAATCATCTCTCGGATATCTATAATCATCTCTTGGATACCTATCTCTCTCACGATAATCGTGATCAGGATAGTCTCTTTCATATCTTCCATTACGATCATATCTATCATCATCTGGATAACCATGTAAATGATATTGTTGTGGTGGAGGCATATGCATTGCTCTCGCTTCAATTCGATGTCTATCCTTCATTCTATCAAGCACATGATTTACGCCATCATTTGGATTCACTTCTTGAACCCAATCTTCCACAATTACAATTTTTTGGGAGACCTCATTTCTAGACTGAACGAGAGGAACGAGAGGATTTCCACCGTTAACATTAGGGATGGGATTCTTTGTTAGATTTCTCTTAACGTTTGAATCGGAAACATTGGAAATGTCATCATCACTACTATCACTACTCTCACTACTATCTTTTAATTGCTTTTTCTTTTTTTGCATTAATTTCTTTGTTTATTGTGATTTTTGCTAATTGGCCAGTGAAATTTTTTAAATTGGTAACATTAGGATGCAAATCTATCCTTT